CCCCCCAAAATTCCCCATTTTTTCCCCCCCCCCAAGATCGAGGAGATCTTTAAGAAGGCGGGGCACCCGTTCATGTGGACGGAACACCTGGGTTACATCCTCACCTGCCCGTCCAACCTGGGCACGGGGCTGCGCGGGGGCGTCCACGTGCGCCTGCAGCACCTGAGCCAGCACCCCAAATTCGAGGAGATCCTCAAGCGCCTGCGCCTGCAGAAACGCGGCACAGGTGAGCGGGGACACGCCCACCTTTACCTGGCAGGGGGCGGGGACACGCCCACCTTTACCTGGGAGGGGAATTTCAATCCCAAAATTTATCTGGGAGAGGAAATTCTGTCCCAAAATTCACCTGGGAGGGGTGGGGACACGCCCACCTTTACCTGGGAGGGGGAAATTCCATCCCAGAATTCACCTGGGAGAGGAAATTCTGTCCCCAAAATTCACCTGAGAGGGGAAATTCTGTCCCAAAATTCACCTGAGAGAGGAAATTCTGTCCCAAAATTCACCTGGGAGGGGCAGGGACACGCCCAGATTTACCTGGGAGGGGGAATTTCAATCCCAGAACTCACCTGGGAGGGGAAATTCTGTCCCAAAATTCACCTGAGAGGGGAAATTCCGTCCCAAAATTCACCTGGGAGGGGAATTTCAATCCCAGAATTCACCTGGGAGAGGAAATTCTGTCCCAAAATTCACCTGGGAGAGGTGAGGACACACCCACCTTTACCTGGGAGGAGAATTTCAATCCTAAAATTTATCTGGGAGGGGAAATTCCATCCCAAAAATTCACGTGGGAGGGGGAATTCTGTCCCAAAATTCACCTGGGAGGGGAAATTCCGTCCCAAAATTCACCTGGGAGGGGAAATTTTGTCCTAAAATTCACCTGGGAGGGGCAGGGACACGCCCAGATTTACCTGGGAGGGGAAAATTCCATCCCAGAATTCACCTGGGAGAGGAAATTCTGTCCCAATAATTCACCTGAGAGGGGAAATTCCATCCCAAAAATTCACCTGGGAGGGGAAATTCTGTCCCAAAAATTCACCTGGAATGGAAATTCCATCCCTAAAATTCACCTGGGAGAGGAAATCCATCCCCAAAAATCCACCTGGGGGTGCCGAGGAGCGGCCGGTGGGGTCTGCTCGTGTCCGTGGGTCACTCACCCCTCCCCTCCATGTCCATCTGTCCCCCCTCCCCGTGTCCGTGTGTCCGTCCAGGTGGGGTGGACACGGCCGCCGTGGGTGCCGTGTTCGATATCTCCAACGCCGACCGCTTNATCCTCAAGCGCCTGCGCCTGCAGAAACGCGGCACAGGTGAGCGGGGACACGCCCACCTTTACCTGGGAGGGGGCGGGGACACGCCCAGATTTACCTGGGAGGGGGCGGGGACACGCCCAGATTTACCTGGGAGGGGGCGGGGACACGCCCACCTTTACCTGGGAGGGGCGGGGACACGCCCAGATTTACCTGGGAGGGGGCGGGGACACGCCCACCTTTACCTGGGAGGGGGCGGGGACACGCCCACCTTTACCTGGGAGGGGGAATTTCCATCCCAGAATTCACCTGGGAGGGGAAATTCTGTCCTAAAATTTACCTGGGGGGAGAAATTCCATCCCAAAAATTCACCTGAGAGGGGAAATTCTGTCCCAAAATTCACCTGGGAGAGGAAATTCTGTCCCAGATTTACCTGGGAGGGGAAATTTTGTCCCAAAATTCACCTGGGAGGAGGTGGGGACACGCCCACCTTTACCTGGGAGGGGGAATTTCCATCCCAGAATTCACCTGGGAGAGGAAATTCTGTCCCCAAAATTCACCTGAGAGGGGAAATTCTGTCCCAAAATTCACCTGGGAGGGGGAATTTTGTCCTAAAATTCACCTGAGAGGGGGTGGGGACACACCTAGATTTACCTGGGAGGGGCAGGGACACGCCCAGATTTACCTGGGAGGGGAATTTCAATCCCAAAATTCACCTGGGAGGGGAAATTCTGTCCCAGATTTACCTGGGAGGGGAAATTTTGTCCCAAAATTCACCTGGGAGGGGAAATTCATCCCAAAAATTCACCTGGGAGGGGAAATTCATCCCAAAAATTCACCTGGGAATGCAAAATTCTGTTCCAAAATTCACCTGGAATGCAAATTCCATCCCAAAAATTCACCTGGGAGGGGGAAATTCATCCCAAAAATTCACCTGAGAGGGGAAATTTTGTCCCAAAATTCACCTGGAATGCAAATTCCATCCCAAAAATTCACCTGGGAGGGGAAATTCTGTCCTAAAATTGACCTGGGAGGGGAAATTTTGTCCCAAAAATTCACCTGAGAGGAGGAATTTTGTCCCAAAAATCCACCTGGGGGTGCCGAGAAGCGGCCAGTGGGGTCTGCGCGTGTCCGTGGGTCACTCACCCCTCCCCTCCATGTCCATCTGTCCCCCCTCCCCGTGTCCGTGTGTCCGTCCAGGTGGGGTGGACACGGCCGCCGTGGGTGCCGTGTTCGATATCTCCAACGCCGACCGCCTGGGCTTCTCGGAGGTGGAGCAGGTGCAGATGGTGGTGGACGGCGTCAAACTCATGGTGGAGATGGAGAAGAAGCTGGAGCAGAAGCAGCCGATCGACGACATGATCCCGGCCCAGAAATAGGGGAGGGACCCCCCGAAATCCCCCCCAAAAATCACCCCAAAAATCCCCCCCAAAATCCCACCAGAGCGGCCGAAATAAACGGTGCCGGCTGCGCTTGGGTGTTTGAATTTGGGGAGGGGGCGACGTGAATTTAGGGGGGTGGTCAGCGGAGTCGGAGGGGTCTTCTCGCTCTCCAAGATCTCCTCTCGTCCGTGGGGATCCCCAAAATCTCCTCCGAGCCCCCCAAAGCTCGTGGGGACCCCCCAAAAATCCCCCCAGAGCCGCCTCAATAAACGGTGCCGGTCCCCACCATGGTGAGGTGCCCGAATTTGGGGAGGGGGCGACGGGAAATTTGAGGGGTGGTCAGCAGAGTCGGAGGGGTCTTCTCGCTCTCCAAGATCTCCTCTCGTCCGTGGGGATCCCAAAAATCTCTCCCGAGCCCCCCAAAGCTCGTGGGGACCCCCCAAAATCCTCCCGGAGCCCACCCAGAGCGGCCGCAATAAACGGTGCCGGTCCCCACCATGGTGAGGTGCCCAAATTTGGGGAGGGGGCGACGTGAATTTAGGGGGGTGGTCAGCGGAGTCGGAGGGCTCCTCTCGCTCTCCAAGATCTTCTCTCGTCCGTGGGGATCCCCAAAATCTCCTCCGAGCCCCCCAAAGCTCGTGGGGACCCCCCAAAATCCTCCCGGAGCCGCCGCAATAAACGGTGCCGGTCCCCACCAGGGTGAGGTGCCCAAATTTGGGGAGGGGGCGACGCGAATTTAGGGGGGTGGTCAGCGGAGTCGGAGGGGTCCTCTCGCTCTCCGAGATCTCCTCTCGTCCGTGGGGATCCCAAAAATCTCTCCCGAGCCCCCCAAAGCTCGTGGGGACCCCCCAAAATCCCCCCGGAGCCGCCTCAATAAACGGTGCCGGTCCCCACCAGGGTGAGGTGCCCGAATTTGGGGAGGGGGACACACAAATTTTTGGGGTCCCCAGAAAATCCGGAGGGATCCCCGCGTTCCTCACGA